AGGATAAAAGTTTTTAAAAAAATCTATTATGATAATGATAATAATAATATTAATAATAGTAAAAATGGGATGACGACATTGATCTATCTGTTTTTGTATCTGTGTACAATTATGCATGTATGTATTTATGTATGTTTGTATGTATGTATGTATGTCTGTTTGCCATTGTAAACCAAATTGTCCTTCTGGGATCAGTAAGAATGTGGTTTATTTTTTTGTCAAAACTGTCTTTGTTTGGCGCTCATATGACCTTATGCAGTTGCGAGCGCTGTAAAACCTGTACTAAAACAAAAAACAAATTACCTTTGTGTGTTTTCCCAGTGGTCAGACAACTACTTCCGGGCGGCCCTGGTAGAGGCGCTGGCAGCCAGCATCACCCCAGCGGTCACCAACGTGTCTCTCATCACTGGGTACGTCCAGAGTCATCTATATTTATAGATAAATATGTATATTATTATCTGACGCAACATAGTGAAATCAATCGCTCGTCAGAATACGGAAATCGAAGAAACAGGCATTTTTCCCCCCATTTGGCAATTTTTATCGAATTTTTTTTTGGCTCAACACCTTTTCAAAAACACATTTTTGTGTGGATTTTACTGGAAAATTTTAATTAAAAGCACAAAAAAATGTTAATTTTCAGTTTCCAAGGACTTTCAAATTATGGAAGTCACCAAAATATGTTGGCCATTTTCTTGCTAAATTTACCCCTGAAATCGACGACCCCGACCTCCTTCTATGGCAAATATCTCAACATCCATACATCGAAAGCAAGACAAAATGACAAGCTTTATGATAATAATGTCAATAACTCCTCATGCCCAAATTTTGACGAGCGCCTGATTCCACCGCGTTGAGATATATACACACAGTCAAATTTGGTCGCTTTTAAGGACAAGCGGGCTAACCTAGATTTTGGGGGTGTCCAGAAATCTTGACCTACACCAAAAGTGGGCATTGCCCTTCCTATAGGAGAAGTTTGGTTCCATTAGTTGTAGACAAAACTTTCCTTGTCTTTTAAAGAAACTGAACTAGGGGCAAAAACTTTACCTTTGATTTTCTCAAAACAGCATTTTTCGGGATAGCCCCCTTGTGCTTAAAAGCGACCAATTGTCTGAGACCCACATCAATTGTTGAGGAGAGGAATAGTATTTTATGGACGGGAGACTGTCTTTCACAGTGCCATAATGATAGTATATAATGCTTCAAAAAGCACGGGGGAGTATGGGAAGTAGCAGTTTGTCCTAGTGATTGTTTCCTAAGGTGTGGAGGAAGTCTAACATTCAGCAGTTGAGGAAGAGTATGTGGTATCATGTCTATGGGTGGTTGGCGGGTGCTCTGGTGTGGTTTGCTTCTTCTTTCCTATCAAAAATCTATCGTCCTTATCTCCCTTCCTTCTTTTTTGTGTTTGTTACTCCCTTTTAACACCTGTAATCTTCTGGCGATCATATGACCTTATTGTGTTGCAAGTGCCATAAAACTCTTACGAAGAAAACAAATTATCTCTCCTCCTTCTTTTTTGTGTTTGTTACTCTCTTGTAACACCTCTAATCTTCAGCACTTATATTTGACCTTATTGTGTTGTAAGTGCCGTAAAACACTTACTAAAACAAAACACAGAGTTTCAAAGCAAATGTCATTCTATGCACCATCTCATGTGTCTGTTTGTTTGTGTGTTTGTTCGTCAGGCGTGTTGCGACGGCGGAGACGCTCAGCCCCGACACGCGACTCATAGTGGAGGAGGTGGTGAGGGCGCTCAACCTGGAGAAACTGATGCCTTCGTACAAGTACACTGTCACCTGCAGGTGGGTCTCTCTCTGTTTGTCTGTCTGTCTGTCTCTTTCTCTGTCTTTCTCTCTCTGTCTCTGTCTTTCTCTCTCTGTCTCTGTCTGTCTGTCTGTCTGTCTGTCTGTCTGTCTGTCTCTCTCTCTCTCAACTTGGAAAAATTGATGCCCTTGTTTGTTTTTTGATCATTTTTCTCTTTCTCCTCTCTCTTTTTTTTTCTCTTTTCTTTTCTTTCCTTTCATCTTTCTCCCTTCATCTCTCTCTCTCTTTTCTTTTCTTTCCTTTCATCTTTCTCCCTTCATCTCTCTCTCTCTTTTCATTTCGTTCCTTTCATCTTTCTCCCTTCACCCCTCTCTCTCCTTTCTTTTCTCTCTATGCTGATATCTTTCTCTCTCTTGCTCTCTCTCTCTTTTTTTGTCTTTCCCTCTCCCTCTCTGTCTTGTGTTCCCTGCCTCACCCACCCTCTCTCTTTTTCTTTCTGTCTTTCCCGTGGTCCCCCTCCCACTTCCTTCTCCCCCTCTCCTTCCTTCCCTCCCTCATAAAGTTTATCATGACAATGACAATGTGTCAATATTCATTGGGGCCCCTCCCCCCTTCCCCCCTACATGGGTGGTTGGCGGGTGCTCTGGTGTGGTTTGCTCCTTCTTTCCTCTCAAACATATATCGTCCTCATCTCTCCTGCTTCTTTTTTTTTGTTTGTTACTTTCTTGTAACACATCTATTCTTCAGCACTTATATGACCTTATTGTGTTGCAAGTGCCGTAAAACTCGAACTAAGACGTGTACAGACACTCTTCCTCTCCTTTTCCCTTACCCCTCCCCCCCATACAAAACAGATGTGTTCTAGTGGGTGATTGGCGGGTATCAAACACCTATCGTCTGGATTTCTCCTGCTTCTTTTTTGTGTGTTTGTTACTCTCTTGTAAAGGCGACATGGAAAGGAACTGGCCACCCTACCACAATATGCCAAAGGCCCAGGAAGTTGTCTCACTAATGAGGCAATCCCCAATGTCTGGATCGGATGCAGGAACAACTTTACTTTACTTTTTTGTCTCTTGTGACACCTCTAATGTTCTGCACTTGTATGACCTTATTATGTTGTAAGTGCCGTAAAACTTTTACTAAGACATGTTCTAACAAACATTTTCCCTCTCTCTTTCCCTCCCCCCTCCCCTCAAACGACTCAGACATGTTCTAGTCGGTGGTTGGCGGGTGCTTTGGTGTGGTTTGCTCCTTCTTTCCTATCAAACATCTATCATCCTTTTCTCCCCTCCTTTTTTAAAATGTTTGTTACTCTCTTGTAACACCTCTAATCTTCTGGCGCACATATGACCTTATGCAGTTGCGAGCGCCGGAAAACCTCTACTAAAACTAAAACTGAACTGTTACTATGACGTGTTTTTACATTCCCCCTGTCTCTTTCCCTCTCCCCTCCCCCGAGATACTCAGATGTATTCTAACACTCTCCCTCTCCCCCTCTCTCTCTCTCTCTCTCTCTCCCCCCCCCACCCTCTATCTTCACACAAAACTAACCGTCATATGGAGCGGTGTGAGACCACCGAAGCCCTTGATGTTGACCTCTGACCCTCCGTCCAGCAGCGCCACCACGTTGTCTGTGTTCCCCAGCTGCGAGGCCAGGTGTATCGGGGTGAACAGTCGCTTGTCCTGGAGCTCTGCACGACCGTCACAGGAACAAAAGAAGTTAAGACTCGGACCAAAGTCATTTGTGAGGCATCGTGGGGAAACCAGGCTCTCGTCAAAATAACCAGGCGTTTTTACGACAGTTTAACAATTTTTATCAATTTTTTTATTTTTTGGCTTAACCTCTTTTAGGTTCAAATAAAAACCCCTGTTCATGTGAATTTTACTGAAAAACGTTGATTAAAGGCACAAAATATGTCATTTTTTTGTTGTCAAGGACTCTTTAGCTATTGGAGTTATCAAACTTTGGCAGCCATTTTCTCATTAATTTCACCACTGAAACCAGGCAACCTCACCTCTTTCAATCGTACATATCTTGACTTCTATCTAAGATAGATGGGTATTTTTGTTTCATTAAAAGCAAGACAAATGAATAAGTTTTCAGATGATACCAATAACTCCACAAGCCAAAAATTGAGGAGAGTCTGATTCCACAGTGTCGTGACACATTTAATTTGTTTGTTTTTGTTTTCAGGAAGCGTTTTACGGCACTTGCAACCCTATTCGGTCAAATAAGTGCCGAAGATTAGAGGTGTTACAAGAGAGTAACAAACACAAAAAAGATGGAGGCAACCTCAGTAGTTGTTTGATAGGAAAGAAGGAGCAAACCACACTAGAGCACCCGCTAACCACCCACGTTTGTTTGTGGATTGCGACTAGACTGACGAAGTTTTGTGACTAGACTGAAAGAGGATTGCGACTAGACTGACAGAGGATTGCGACTAAACTGAGAGAGGTTTGCGACTAGACTAGACTGAAAGAGGTTTGTGACTAGACTAGACTGAAAGAGGTTTGTGACTAGACTAGACTGAAAGAGGTTTGTGACTAGACTGACTAGACTGAGAGAGGTTTGCGACTAGACCGAGAGAGTTTTTGCGACAGGACTGACAAAGTTTTGCGACTAGACTGAGAAAGGATTGCAACTAGACAGAGAGAGGATTACGACTAGACTGACAGAGGATTGTGACTAGACAGACAAAGCTTTGCAATTAGACTAGACTGACAAATGTTTGCGACTAGTCTGACAGAGTGTTGCGACTAGACTGAGAGAGGATTACCACTAGACTGACAGAGGATTGTGACTAGACTGAAAGACGGTTGTGTCTAGACTGACAAAGTTTTGCGACTAGACTGACGAAGGTTTCTACTGCTGGCACTGACCTATGTCCATCCCACCAGTGATGAGGGTCGTGACTAGTCGGTCAGCGACGCCCGCCCGGGACTGAGAGGCGTAGTGTAGGCTGGACCGGCCATCATTGTCCGTCACGTGGATGTTTCTGGAAAGAGATGATATATGTGAGGGTGCTGACAAAATGAGTTACTTCTCGCAATCATCCATACAAAATGAGATATTGGCCAAACGTCGACATTAGGGTCAAATTTCTATATTTTCTATCTACACCATATTCTTGAATTACAACCTGTCTTTAATTATTTCATATCTATAAATTGTAAAAACCTCACCTATAAGCGTGATGTATCTATTTCCTTAAGGCTTGAATCGGAGAAGTGACTCATTTTGTCAGCACGCTTCTCATATGTTATTCACTAAAGTTTACTTTGAGTCAGAGCAAAAAACCACCACATATATCAGGTACAGATCATGAATATCTTTCATTTCTGTCTATCATAATTTGAAATAAAACATAACATGTGTCACAATGCGGTGGAATCAGGCGCTCATCAATATTTGGGCATATGGGGTTAATGGTATCATCTTAAAGCCTGTTCATTTGCCTTCCTTTCACTGAAAAAAATATTTGTCTAAGTTGAATAGAAGGCGAAATATTTGCGATTGAAGGAGGTCAGGGTCGCCTGGTTTCAGGGGTAAAGTTAACGAGAAAATGGCCACCAAAGTTTGGTAACTTCCATAGCCTGACAGTCCTTGGAAACTGAAAATTTACATTTTTTGTGCCTTTAATCAATGTTTTCAGTACAATCCACACAAACATTTGTTTTTAAGAGGACGTAAAAGGTGTTGAGCCGAAAAAAAGAAAATTAGAAAAAAAAATAGGCCCAATGGCCAAAAACTGTAATACCGATTTCTTTTATTTAATTATTTTGAGGAGCACCTGATTTCACCACAATGCCACACATATGTGAGTCGTGCTGACAAAATGGGTTACTTGTCAGATTTCAACCTTATTGAAATTGATCCATCAACTTTATAGGTGGAGTTTGTACAAACAATTTGTAAGTATGGAATTCAGTTTAAGTAGAGGTTTTACGGCGCTCGCAACTGCATACGGTCATATGAGCGCCAAAGTATGGAATGATAAAAGACACGGTAGACTTGAAGAAAACGGCATCAATTAAAAATCAACTGCCACGATTATCATGTACAGATCAGGAAATCTCTGGCTGCGAAGTAGAGTCTGATCTGAATAATGACGATATTAGAGATACGTGTTAAAGAGAGGACTGAAGTTTGATTTACGAAAAGATTTCGATTCTACTGTCATAATTTGAAATAAAACATAATAACCTCATCTTTTGCCCTTCACCTATCTGTTCAAGATCTCAAGGTAAGCTATTTTTTGGTCTTTCTCTGCATCTTTTGCCTCCTACTGCTCAAGCAAGAGCAACACCTTTTCCTCCATTGTGTCTACTCCAATGTCCTTGAGACTGAATTTGTCTCTTGCTCATTATCTTTCTTCAGGAGTGCCTGTAACTTTTCACTGGACAAAATACATGATATATTTCCATTTCTCCCTTTGTGCAAAAGAACCAATCCCCCCCCCCCCCTTTCCAGGGCATTGCAGGGCAGTGCTACTGACTGAAGTTGTCTTTAGGTCACTCCCAAAGTGGGGATATTAACATGTTCTTATGCACAGTAGAATTGTAAATAGACTGATTTGTCAATGTCATGCTCATACTGTGCCGGAACAACATAGGGGGAACTGCTGCGTTTTCTTTCCTCATCCTTGCTATTGTCATTTTCCCTCTACCTTTTCCGTATGTTTGTCACTCTCTTGTGAACTGCTATTTCCGGGATGCCTTGATAGTCGAAGCAGAGACTTGGTGCTGTTGAGGATAGAGAGGTGAGCAGAGTAAGCCTGATTCCCCGTTTGGACTTCTCTGTTGACATCCACCCCTTGGCACTCATATAACCTTAAGCAGTTACGAGCGCCGTAAAACCTTACTAAAACAAAGCGACCACAAGACCCGAGACTCACGCGTTGGCCTTCATGAGCTCCGCAGCCACTTCCACAGGGCTGTAGTGTCGGTTCAGCTGCACGGACAGACGCTCAAACAGCTGCACGTCCCGCGACACCAGCATAAGGGGAGTCAACCCCTCTGCGTTCTGGCAGTTCACGTCAGAAATCTGCCGGCTGTCCTGGAAGCAACAAGAGAAAATGGCATATCATTGTTGAGTTGCACGAGCAGTAACTCACTCACTGTGTATAATCGTGATAATGGTCACTTTTGGCCAGGGATGAAACTCGAAAAACAGATACGTTGGACTAAAGTAAGAGGTACAGACCATCATACCAGAATACTTTTAGTAAGAGCTTTAAGTGATTCAGCTCCCAGTGCCACTCATAGCAGATGACTGACTGTGTTTTGACGCAGAGCTGTTCAGAGCAGCTCTTATCTCCTGCTCCCTTTCTTTCCATCACATTCCTCTCGTCTTTTTTCCTGACTGCTTGCACTTCAACACTTTTTGCTGGTGTCATTGAATAGTACTTTTAATTTAAAATGTTTCTATATGTTACACATTGGGTTTTATCAAATTTAGATATTACTTTATTAACTTTTTGTGAGACCACCCACGAGGTCACGAAGCGGTCACAAATTATTTGCCCCCTGAGTAAAAATTATCTGAGGGCTGAATTAGTAAAGGCACTTGCGACACAAATAGGCCGTGTAAATGTTGAAGATTAGAGGTGTTACAAGAGAGTTACAAACACAAATAAAAGAAGAAGAACGATAGATGTTTGATAGGAATGAAGAAGCACACCACACCAGAGCACCCACAAGCCTCCCATACACCAAAATGTAAAATTATCTGCAGCAGGGCAATGACTAGAGGTTAACTCTAAAAGATCCACTTGTTTGTCAGAGATATAACTAAGGATTAACTCTAACAGACTGACTTGTTTGTCTGAAGCAAAGAGAAACATATCCACACTATGATGCTTATTCAGTGCACAGACAGACAGACAGACAGACAGACAGACAGACAGACAGACAGATAGACAGACAGACAGACAGACAGGCAGACAGGCAGACAGGCAGACAGACAGAGACAGACAGACAGACAGACAGACAGACAGACAGACAGACTGACAGACAAGCAGAGACAACAGAGGGAAAGAACAAAAATAGGACCTACCAGTGGCGCCCTCCAACCACCCACTTACAGAGAGAGACAAAGAGAGAACAAACCAGTTTTCCTGATGCTCAAGTCAAGGAGGCTGTACAGAGCATCACAAACATCATATAAAGAAAGTAGAATTAAACAGGGAGGAAAAAAATATATATCTCGCCAAAATGATAAGATAGGCCCATCATTCCATTTAAAAAAGACTAAAATAGATCTACAAGATAAAATGAAAAAAAACATTATTTAAAAAAAATTATTTTAAGAAATTATTTTTATAATGTAGATCTAATCTATAGGTTTTGAGCCAACATATATTAAGAAATATAAAGAAAGCATAATTTTTTTAAAAATCAAACGAAAGCTCACCAGAATCGCGCGGACGACCGCCACGTTGCCCTGCCAGGCGGCCTGTAGAAGACGTCGGCTGGTGAGCTCTGTGGAGTTCTCGACCCAGTCCAGGAGCACCGTCTTCACAGGGGAAAAGGCCAGCTCCAAGGCCGTCTGAGCCTCGTAGTTACACAGGGTCGGGTCAGCGCCGTGACGGAGCAAGATCTCCACCGTCTGTGAAGTGGTGGGGTGGGGTGAGGTGAGGTGAGGGGAGAAGAGATGAGATGAGGTGAGGTGGGGTGAGGTGAGGTGAGGTGAGGTGGGGTGGG